CCGATTGGAGGTATCTAGTGACGGTGCTTTGTTAGCTAGATTTGAGGTGAGACCTACATTACTTGATGAGATCAAGAAGGGCCAAGAAACTGATGAAGAGCTCATGAAGGTCCGGGAACGCATGCTAGCGGGACCGGTTGAGGATTTCAGGGAAAGAGACGATGGTCTCTTATTATTTCGTGACCGAGTGTGCGTACCGTCAGATGATGGGCTCCGAAAGTCCATCTTAGAGGAGGCCCATTCATCGGCATATGCCATGCATCCGGGGGGCACGAAGATGTACCGTGATTTGAAAGAAAGTTACTGGTGGTCGGGTATGAAGAGAGAAATAGCCGAATACATCAGTAGGTGTCTTACTTGTCAGCAAGTTAAGGCAGAACATCAGCATCCAACCGGGTTGTTACAGCCATTATCCATTCCTGAATGGAAGTGGGAACACGTGACTATGGATTTCGTGGTAGGACTGCCACGGACGATTAAGAACTATGACGCCGTATGGGTTGTGGTTGATAGGCTCACGAAGAGTGCACACTTTCTACCTATCAACACCACCTATGCACTGGAAAGGTTAGCCAAGTTGTATGCGGATGAGATCGTGAGGCTACATGGAGTTCCAATAACCATTGTATCCGATAGAGATCCGCGATTCACATCACGATTTTGGCCGAAGTTCCAAGAATCGATGGGGACAAAACTGAAGTTCAGTACTGCATTTCATCCACAGACGGATGGACAGTCTGAGAGGGTTATACAGATATTAGAGGATATGCTGAGAGCTTGTGCATTGGAGTTCCAAGGGAGTTGGGACAACCATTTGGCACTCGTGGAGTTTGCCTATAACAACAGTTATCAGGCGAGTATAGGCATGCCTCCATACGAGGCATTGTATGGGAGGAGATGTCGTACACCTTTGTGTTGGGACGAGGTTGGCATGGCCAAACTCGAGAGCACGGAATTGGTGGAAATCACCAAGTCAAAGGTAAAGATGATTCGTGACAGACTCAAGGCGGCACAGGATAGATAGAAGAGCTATGCCGATAAGCGCCGAAGAGCCTTAGAATTTAAGGTTGGAGATGAGGTATTTTTGAAAGTTTCACCTTGGAAAGGAATCATCCGATTTCAGAGCCGAGGGAAACTCAACCCACGCTACATATGGCCATTTGTAATTCTTGAGAGAATTGGGGCCGTAGCATACCGATTACAGTTGACTCCGGAGTTGGAGAAAATACATAATGTATTCCATGTGTCTATGCTTAAAAGGTATATTCCGGATCCATCTCATGTACTAGAGAAACCACCCGTGGAAATACGGGAAGACTTGAACTACGTCGTGCAACCGGTGAGAATACTTGATAGGCAAGTAAAGAAGCTAAGAAGCAAGAAAGTTCCAATGGTTAAAATCCTTTGGAAGAGTGACCGAGTTGAAAAAGAAACTTGGGAGACTGAAGCCTCGATGAAGGAACAGTATGCATTTCTGTTTGAATAATCGTTGTGAATTTCGGGGACGAAATTCCCGTTAAGGGGGGGTGAACTTGTAGCACCGTCCCCAAGCATATTTACTTTTAGTAAATTATGTAATAAACCTTGAAGGACGATTTATGAATTTGCGTAAATGTAAATTTTTATTAATTCTTTTACGTGAATAGTAAATTGCATGTGGGGCCCACGCCCGGACCGGGGGGTCGCCCGATAATTCCCGAACCACATATTATATTCATCTTGGTGGTGGATATTTTATTTGGGCCATAAGAAAGGCATGGAGTTGACCGGTTGGTCAAACGGGGCCCAATTACCGGTATTGGTAATTTAGCGGATAACAGCCCGAAATGAGTTTCGAAGACTCCTAAATTAATGTTGGGGAATGTACATCTATTCTAAAGGCCCATAATTATTGGGAACGCGTGATATATTTTATCCGGTCCGATAAAATAAAATATGACTAAAATAGTCCGAAAAATACAACTTTCGGGGCCAATTATACACACCGGGATATAATGGGATGACCTCCCACATAAGTGGGGGCCACCCCACGACCCAACGTGCTGCAAATGACAAGGAAGCAGCTGGGGGGTGTACCTAGTAGGTGGGAAGTCTCCAAGAGACAAAACCCATGACCCCATTCCCTTGAATAAGTGGGAGGGATTGAGATGAAATGTCCCCCCATCATTTGCATCATCCTCACCACTCAAATAAGGTAGGAGAGGAGCTCTGGGAAGGTCTCTATCAAAGTTCAAGCTCAGGGAAGCAAGGGGAAAAGATCTAACAAAAAGGAGTTGAGTTCAAGGTAAGAACTCTACAAGAAAACTCTTGTAACTAGTTTTATCATGAATGATTTATTAAGAAATCATTTGGTGGGTTAAACATGATAATCTACACGTTTAAAAGTGTATGATATTGATATAAAGTGGTGATATTTAACTTAGAAGAGTTGGTGGATCGATAGGAGTCGAAATCGCCGGAAACCGCCACACATAGGAGGCTGTTCGTGTTGCAGGAGGACGAACGTCGCCCGGCTTTCACGAAAGCCGCCCGGCTTTCGCTCTATTCCCAGATTTCCCACTCTTGAACGGCCTAGAACGAGGACGGATCGAGGGGGTTTCGCTAAGGCAGCTAGTTGAGCACATCATAAGGTGAGGATGGCTGACTATATTGCTTATAATTAGTGAGTTAATTTCATAAGATTGCCTAAAGTAACTAGATGGGATTTTCATGGATTATTAATGATTAATAATGCCTAAATGAAAATGATATTGATATGAGTAAGTGAAGCATAATATACAAATTCAGAATAATTGTGTATGATTATGTGAAATAAAGGGAACGACATATTAATGGAATTACTATGATGACATTGTGATAAAATATACTTTACGCCATGTATGAAATTCATGAACGGAGTAAAGTGATATTTTTGATATTGAGATCAAACTATACTTGTGTTGAGAAATCAGTTGAAATGAAAAGTCAATTGGAAAATAGGAACTTGGCATGTTCTAAGATTATCCAATTAGTATCAAAATACTAGTCGGGGAATTAATATAAATAAATGATGAAACAAATCCTAAGAGGTAGGATTGTGAATAGATATGCCTTAAGTAGTCTCAAGAGATACTTTAAGGTTGAATTGTGTGAACACTAAGGTGTGATAGGGGTAGGCCTAAAGGCTACCTACGGAAATTGATTCTAGGCATAGGATTTGCTTGAGAATTTGATTATGAAAGTAATTAGAGTTGGACTCTAGGATGACATGGAAATGTAGTTGGGCCGAGCCCATGCCATGTAATATGATTAGCATGTAAACGTAGTTGGGCCGAGCCCTTGCCATGTATATGTAATCTCCGTGGAAACGTAGTTGGGCTGAGCCCTTGCCACGAAGTTATGGTTGGTATGGAAACGTAGTTGGGCCGAGCCCTTGCCATACAAATTTTTATATGTTATATTGAGTTAGAGGATTGTATAGAAATGTAGTTGGGTCGAGCCCATGCTATACAATTGGGGCTCGATGAGACCCCACGGGGTTATCGTGACTTGCGATCACGGGGGAATGGAAATGAGGAATCCTAAACGAATATGGGCCCACGGGCCGACTACTTGACTCTATATAAAGTAAGTACAGTTAAGAGGAAAAAAGGTGTAACCGAGGGTTATGGCCTATAATATAATAGCACCCTAAGTTGAGGGTCTTAGAAATTAAAACATCAATTTTACTTAGTATAGTTGCTATTGTACTTGTCAAATATTTCCAAGTACTGACCTCCCCTTCACGGGGGAGGCCACCTCACAGTTTCAGGTAGAACTTGAAGGTTGCTGCCACCGCCCGTTGCTTCGGGAAGATCAAAGGAAGAAGACGTGGTTCGTGCTTCTTCCGTTTCTGTTTTGAAAACAATTTAAATAATGCTCATGGATATTATTTTTTGAATAATTATTTGGGGGCTTGTACGCCCATGATTGCCAAGGTGTGGCACAGCCACTTACGTTAAATGTTTCCGCTGCTATAAATGTTTATTTTACATTATGTTTGTTTATGGATGTACTATGTGTGAATGGTATTCAAGACGCCTTGTATAGTATGGATGAGTCGGACTGCGGTTGACTATTCGTACTGTACGGCGGGTTGTTGACGTGTCCGGGTAGGTCCAGGGCGTGACAGCGCCAATGTTGAAGTTTAATCCCGTAGACCCGAAAGTCCAACACAAACTTTCGATATATCAGGAAATGGAACAATAATTCAGTGTATAAAAGAAATATAAAAGATGAGATCAACGAATACTCAAAAGCCCGCTTGTACTAAGTAATTTGACTATTACACGGTAAACTACCCGACCGGTACGTCGGAATAGTAACTAAAATAAGAAATCAGAGAGATAATGTTATTCTAGGATTGAGTATCAAAATGCAAACCCTTTACAATGCAACTAATCCTTCTATTTATACTAATGGAGGTATGGAGTATTTCATGTTGATTGGTTGCTTTATCTAGCCACTTGGTTACCCGTTGCCCGAACGGGTAGTAGACCCTGCTGGAATCATCATTGATCTGGCCCGAGTACGTTGGTTGTCCCCAATCCCGTTCGGTACACTGATATGGAATTATCATTGGTCTGGCCCATTATTCATCTGGCCCAATTGCGTTAGTTGATCCGAACCTCGTTCGGTACATATTTTCCCATGAGCCTGTTCATCTTCTGGATTATGGGCCCGTCTAACGGAATGAATATCCTGGGCCTTGGATCCGGGTATTGGACCTGCAGCCCAATATCCCAACAAGAACTATTTTTTGGGACGACATAAAAAAGAAACCGAGAACTATTTTGCGGGACGAAGAAAATATCATTTTTGAATGAGATCTATCGGTATTGTTTGACATTGCTCTACAGAATAGGGATCAAGTTTTTTGAGCGGTTGTGCCTAAATGAGACTTGTAACATATGGAGGCCCATACATATTATATCCAACCTATCGTATATTTACTTCAACGGTCACAGCTACCGGGAAGCAAAGCGAATTTCAAATTTCAAATTTGAATCGACTCGCCGAAAAACCCTCACACTCGAGTGACGACTTTAACCCTAAAGCCGGGTCCTATATTTATGAAATGAGCAACCCATTTCTACCCTCACTATCGATTCCATTAACCCGACCATCTTCTTCTACCGCGGCTTACATAAACTTCCCTGAATCTCTCTGTCAATCCATCGCCAGAAGAAAATGAGAGAGTGCATCTCGATTCACATCGGTCAGGCCGGAATCCAAGTCGGAAACTCGTGCTGGGAGCTTTACTGTCTCGAGCATGGCCTCAAGGTAAACCTAAGCCGTTGAGATGTTTACGTATTGTCATTTTCTTTTAATTTTCAGATCTCGTTTATATTTTGTTTTTTTTTGGAATGGCGCAGCCAGATGGCAATATGCCCGGCGACACCACCGTAGGTGGAGGTGACGACGCATTCAATACCTTCTTCAGTGAAACTGGAGCAGGAAAGCACGTCCCTCGTGCAGTGTTTGTAGATCTGGAACCGACAGTCATCGATGAAGTCAGAACTGGAACATATCGCCAACTCTTCCACCCCGAGCAACTCATCAGCGGTAAAGAGGACGCCGCCAACAATTTCGCCAGAGGCCACTACACGAGTGAGTTTCTGCTTCACCTTGTGTGCGCTTAGATACATTTTGCTCATCTTCCAAATCGTGTGAAATTTTATTCAACTTTGATATTTTGAACTTCCTATATTCTTTATCTGATTTTAAAAATAGAATAATAAAAATGAAGCAGTGGGAAGTTTATATGATTTGTTTCTGGTGCTTAGATCGAATGTTTGTGAATATGTTACTCGTATTTGTGTATTTATTTTTTGTTTATGTGTTCATGCTAAATTTATGAAAAATTTATTGTGAACAGTTGGGAAGGAGATTGTGGATATCTGTTTGGACAGGATAAGAAAGCTGGCAGATAACTGTACTGGTCTGCAAGGGTTTCTGGTGTTCCATGCTGTGGGGGGTGGTACTGGATCTGGTCTAGGATCTCTCCTTCTGGAAAGGCTTTCTGTTGATTATGGAAAGAAGTCCAAGCTAGGATTCACCATTTACCCGTCTCCACAAGTCTCTACAGCCGTGGTTGAGCCTTACAACTCCGTTCTCTCCACTCACTCACTACTCGAACACACTGACGTTGCTGTGTTGCTCGACAATGAAGCAATCTATGACATCTGCCGGAAATCTCTTGACATTGAGAGGCCAACATACACAAATCTCAACAGGTTAATCTCTCAAGTGATTTCTTCCCTTACAGCTTCCCTCCGTTTTGATGGAGCTTTAAACGTGGATGTGAATGAGTTCCAGACTAACCTTGTGCCATACCCGAGGATACACTTCATGCTCTCTTCATACGCCCCTGTTATCTCTGCTGAAAAGGCCTACCACGAGCAACTCTCTGTTTCTGAGATCACAAACACTGCTTTTGAGCCTTCTTCCATGATGGTGAAGTGTGATCCACGCCATGGAAAGTACATGGCCTGCTGTTTAATGTACAGAGGTGATGTGGTTCCCAAGGATGTGAATGCCGCTGTTGCTACCATCAAGACGAAGAGGACCATACAGTTTGTTGATTGGTGCCCGACTGGTTTCAAGTGCGGGATTAATTATCAGCCACCAACTGTGGTTCCTGGTGGGGATTTGGCTAAGGTTCAGAGGGCGGTCTGCATGATTTCCAACTCTACAAGTGTTGCTGAGGTGTTTTCTAGGATTGACACCAAGTTTGATTTGATGTATTGTAAACGAGCCTTTGTTCACTGGTACGTTGGGGAGGGTATGGAGGAAGGAGAATTCTCTGAGGCAAGAGAGGACTTGGCCGCCCTTGAGAAGGATTATGAGGAAGTTGGGGCAGAGACCGGGGATGGTGAAGACGAAGACGATGGTGAAGAGTACTAGTGGAATTTCGATTCCTTTTTTGTGCTTTGATATGTGGAGCCAATGGTCTAATTGGTTTTTAATGCTTTCTTTTTACCTTTGGACTTGGTGACAATTGTGTATGAACCATGTATGTAGTCTGAGGGGGCTATGTCTGTCTTTCAGTGGTTAAGAATATGATCCTTTATTTCAATTGAGCAATCCTGAAACTAGCTTATGTGTTCTTTGTAGTACGGTGCTTGGTAGTTTACTTATATTTCTTTGTCGGTTAAACTTTAGAATGGATGTACGAGCCACATTTTCACTTGATTAACTTGCTTCCTCTAATTGCATCTTAGATGACGACAAAGTGCCTGATAAATATCGGTCATTTGACAAAAAATCAACAATCCTAGATGAAGGGGTCGTTTTTTCTCACGGACTTTGAGGTTCCCTCTTATCATTTGAACATGAGCTCTCCGCCTCTCCAGTGTCCACAGGGCACTTTTTTCCATTGAAAAAGTTTGATACTTCCTCCGGTCTCTGAATTTACTTTCAAGTCACAAAAAAACTTACATTTTCTATTTTTCTGTATTAGGAAACTTTTTCAATTAAAATTACCCCATTACCCTCACACATCTACCCCATTTATTAACTCACTCAACCCATCCACTACCTTCATTTACTTTGTATTTTCTCGCACCTCTCCATTTGTCATTATTCCTTCCATTCGTATTCACCTCTTTTCTTGTAACCACTCTCTCCGTTCTTTCATTACTCTTTCCACCCCCATCTGGAAAACTCTACTCCATCGTTGTCGATTCATCTGCAGTCATCCCACCCACACACCCACCTAAAGCTTCAAAGCCAATAATGGCCAAAAGTTCGTTTGATTTGTTCATGCACGGTGATTTGGATGGTGTGGTGGTTGAGGGCTTAGAGGATTCTTTCGAATGGGCCGATTTAGTCTGTGAGGCTGAGATCTTTATCGACCTCATCCCTAGCCTGAGATCTTGCTCGGATTTGTCCCTAAGTCTGAGATGTTGCCAGATTTCGTCCCAGATTCTGAGGTTCAGTTGGTCTTGATTTCTGAGAATGAAGAAGGAATGAAAGGACGAAAACGGTTGGGATCTGAGCAATGCCTCGTAGGACAAACGGAGGAGTCTGGGTCGTTGACTGTTCCAACGATTCATTTGGATCGAAGAGGTGAAGCCTCCGATGAAAATATCATTGACATCTAACTTCGGCCAGTGGTCTGATTGCTTGAGTGTTGTTGTTGACTGATTCCTATTGTTGAATGTTGGCTGATGCCTTGTATGCATATATGATGTTGAGCTAACTACCTATAAGCCTAAATGATGTTATAATTTGCCCTAATTGATGGGCTAATTAGGGAGGGGTTTTTGTTGTTGATTGATGCCTATTGTTGAATGTTGCCTGATGCCTTGTATGCCTATATGATGTTGACCTAACTGTCTCTAAGCCTAAATGATGTTATAATTGGCCCTAACTGATGGGCTAATTAGGGAGGAGTTTTTGCTGTTGACTGATGCCTATTGTTGAATGTTGCCTGATGCCTTATATGCCTATATGATGTTGACCTAACTGCCTCTTTGCCCAAATGATGTTTTAATTGGGGCTTATAACTGATGGGCTAATTAAGGGGCATCTTCTACATGCGTACGCTCATCCTGACCTGGACCCTAAAGTTCAAGAAATATTGGACCATTTGGTTTCAATGTGGCCACCTCTTTACAAAAAAACAAGGTGATAAGTTCCACTTGTTGCATGCATGTATATATGTGTGTGTATTCATGTATTAGTGTGACAATTTGTAGTCCTTAATAGCAAGGTAATTGTTCACTTTACTACCTCTATGCGTGAGTGATGCCTAAAATTGATGTTCACTTTACTGCCTCTATGCCTAAATGCTGCCTAAAAGTGATGTATTGTATGCCTAATTCATGTTGACTTAACTGCCTTTATATCACAATGATGTTTACATCGTTCCCTAACTGATGGGGTAATTAGGGGGCGGTTTAGAAGTTGACTGGATGCATGGTGTGTATGTTACTCCCTCCGTCCCTGAATTTACGTCCGTTTTGACTAGGCACATTGATTAAGAGTTTAAGACATTATACTGTTTTCCTTGACTTTCCACCTGTGCGAGTATGTAGCCTGTTTGCCTAAATGATGTTCACATTTTTGGGCCCTAATTTATGGTCTGATTGCTTGAGTGTTGTTGTTGACTGATTCCTATTGTTGAATGTTGGCTGATGCCTTGTATGCATATATGATGTTGAGTTAACTAACTCTAAGCCTAAATGATGTTATAATTTGCCCTAATTGATGGGCTAATTAGGGAGGGGTTTTTGTTGTTGATTGATGCCTATTGTTGAATGTTGTCTGATGCCTTGTATGCCTATATGATGTTGACCTAACTGCCTCTAAGCCTAAATGATGTTATAATTGGCCCTAACTGATGGGCTAATTAGGGAGGAGTTTTTGCTGTTGACTGATGCCTATTGTTGAATGTTGCCTGATGCCTTATATGCCTATATGATGTTGACCTAACTGCCTCTTTGCCCAAATGATGTTTTAATTGGGGCTTGTAACTGATGGGCTAATTAAGGGGCAATTTAGAAGTTGACTAAAAGCCTTATAGTGTGTATTGTTTACTGTGATGACAGTGTCCGAATACTGAGTCCAAATAAGCCAATTTGCATTTATATATAATGACAATGTCTTGTTTGTGTACATATCTTGTATATGTAACCCAAAGCCCAAAATCACAAAACCAAAAACCCACTAGCAAAAAAACCAAGACACCTTGTCTATGCCCAAAACCCAAAATCCCAAAATCCCAAAATGCAGTAGCCAATATACCTTAGCCATGTCTTTACCCAAAACCCAAAAACCCTAAAGCCAGTAACTAGATAAGCCTGGGTGCTACCAGTGTCAAATACATCCATCACTTCTCTCACTGTTTTAGTGTCTGCTGCATTTGAGATAGGTACTTCCCCATTACCATGTAACAAGTCAATCACTTCCCTCACTGTTGTAGTGTCTGCTGAGAGGGAGATAGGTAGTTCCCCATTAACATGTAACATATCCTTTCCAATGTGAGGTAATCTGTAGTTGTTGTTACCTTTAGCAGTTAAAATCTCCTTCATACACATCTGCAATGATAGCCAAATCTTGTTCAAAGTATAGGAACTCAAGTCCTCAAATGCTTTGGTCACCCCTGCCACTAACTCTGAAACTGTTGCACTTGGTGTTGCTTGTTGTAGGGACGAAATTGATCTAAAAAACCCTAGGTCTTGAACATTTAGATCAGGACTATTGGGAGGTTGACATGATAGTTTGATGTTAAATCCTTCAGTAGTAGCCTCTTTCATGAACTCACTGTCATTAGGATGTATATGTGGTTTGGCATTGTCTTGTTAGATGTAAGTATCCCTAGATGCCTCAAGTGGCCACTTGACTTTGATGGCACGGAGCACTTGTCTGAGTAAACACTGTCTGTATACACTTTAAGTGACACTCTCAATTGCTTTTTCCTCTATTGTGCCAACTGTTCTGTTTTTGCTATTCCTTTTTGCTGCCTGGAATTCTGTGAATGGGAAAATACCTATTTTCCCATCAAATAAGACCTCTGAGTCTTCTGAAAATATTGGTATAGCCACAACACACAAAAACATTACTTTTATGATGTATCTCTTGGACTTGCATGTTCTGTGTGGCTCTTGTTCATTTGGAATGAGATAATACCTCTCTGATGGTTTAGTCATGTAAAACTACTTCTCATCCACATGGACACTGTTGAACATGGGTTCAAATAGTGGATGAGTTGTGAGTGAGTCTGGGACAATGTGTGAAATGACCCATTCAAGCCTCTTAGTCATATTTGACCCAGTCAAAAAAGGTTTGATAGAATTTGTGTGTACTTTAATTTTACCTTGGCGTATGAGTCTGTGCACACATGTTTTGGGATAGCCCATAGCAAATGCCAGAATTCTTATGGTCTGCCTTTTGTGAAGATCTATTTCCTTAAAGTCGAGTGTAGGTAGTGGTAAAGGTTTCCTACCACTTTTTGCAGCAAACTGTTTGTCAACATTGATAGGTACACCATCCCTTTGTGATTTCCTTACTTGTATCCAAATACTTGTGATGTACCTTACTGACACTTGATATTCTTCAGCTAATGCAGATTTCAACCCTTTGGTCAGCTTACCATATGTGGAATTAGTGAGAAGAGCTTGCAGGATCTTCTGCTTTGCTTGGTTGGAGAGCCTTTTTTTGTCTTGTTTTAACATTTTCAGAAACTTCCATGTTGTATTTGTGATGATGTACGACTATGTATGTGTAGGTTTATATAGAGATTTGACAAATTTGAAGTGTTAAAGATGTTTAAGTTGGAGGGAATGGTTAAAAATCCCGCCCAGAAGACATCTAAGCCCAAAAATGCAACATTTCATTTTATTGTTCACTACTTTCACTATAGCATGCAGAACACCCCATCCCTCTACTTTTTCCTCTTCCAGTGTGTGGTAATTAAAGAAAGGGTAAAAGTGTAAAGTCAAGGGAAAACATTGAATTTTCTTAAACAATGTGCCAAGTCAAAACGAAAGTAAATTCAGGGACGGAGGGAGTACATTTTATCTCAAGTTGAAAGGTTTGAGAATCAAATAGTGATGTAATATATTGGTCTTAATTATATACCTCTACCTAGGCATGGATGTGGTCCACCATAGGTTTTGGGGCGAGATTGGATGAGCTTTGTAAAATAAATGGCAGACTCAGGACCGGCCTGATATAGAGAAGTCCCGAAGTGGGTATGGTAGATCAGACAGTCTAGTCCCGATTTCGGACAAAAAATGGGAGAAAAGAAATTGGATATTGGGACCAGAGTGAGCCCGTGACCGGGCAGTCAAAATAATGACACTCGGGACCAGGTAACAAAGTAGGACGAAGGAGGGGGTCCTGGTTCGAAACTAGAAAATTAGTCCCGGACCAGTTCCAGTGCGGTCAGGACCAACAGACTGAGTCCACACCTAGTCCTTCATTTCCTCCTAAAAAAGATTGACACTCCTTCCCTGGAAGGCCTAGAACCGTCTATACAATAACCCGTGAGGAAGTAAATCGAGCTTTGATCATGCACTAGTGCAAAGGGAGTGAGGTTTTAGCCCAAATCTTTGTTTGGAATTGAACTCAGAGCCCCTTCCCACTAGGTGAGCTATGCCCCGATAATTATAGTCCTTTTTAAAGGATTACAACCCATCCCAATTATAGTCCTTCCTAAATTTCATAGAGGGGCTCTTTAGATTTTGCATGAGTCCAATAAAAGCAACAGTAGGTG